CCTCCATCCCTGTCCCCATCCATCCCTGTCCACACTCCATCTGTCCCCCATCTCTGTGCCACTCCATCCCTGTGCCCCTCCATCACTGTCCGCACCTCCATCCCTGTCCCCATTCCATCCCTGTCCCCTTCTATCCCTGTCCCCTTTTATCCTTTTATCCCTGTCACCCACTCCATCCCTCTCCCTCTCCATCCCTGTCCCCCTGTCCCCCACCTGGTACGCGTGGTCGGTGTGGACGTGGCAGCGGCCAGGGGGCCCCGGGGGGCTGCAGGGGGAGGCCAGGGCCAGCTCCAGGATGGGCAGGGCTGGTGGCAGAGGAGCCTCGGGGCCAGGGAAGGTGGGGGGCACCGAGGAGGTGGGAGACACCGGGGTGAGGCTGGAGAGCCCATCCGTCAGCGCCTCCATGTCCACGTCCAGCTCTGTGTAGTAGAAATCCTCCTCACCATCGCTCTGCTCCAGGTCGGCTTTCCGGCTGTGGGGAGAGCAGAGGCTGGCTGGGACACTGTGCTCCAGCACTGCAGGGCCCTGCAGGGGGTGCCAGGGGGTATGGGGGTATCCAGGGGTACCCCATGTGCCTACCCAAGGTGCATGGTTCGGATGTGCTTCTGCATCCCAGAGGAGCTGCTGAGGACTTTGCCGCAGCTCTTCCACAAGCACTTGAACATCACCTTGGTGGAGTTCTGTAGGAGAGACGTGTCAGGCTGGCAGCCCCATCTTCATCCTCATCCTCATGCCCAGTCCCACTGTCATCCCACCCCAAATATCATCCTTGTTGTCATCCCAAACTTTACCCCCATGGTCACCCATACCCCCAAACTCATCTCAGCTCTCACCCCTATCTCCAACCTCATCCTCTTCATTCCCACCCCAAATGTCATCCTCCTCCTCATCTCCATCCTCACTATCCCCATTCCCAAACTCATCCCAACTGTCATCCCCATCCTTAACCTCATCCTCCTAATCCTTACTATTCCCAAAACCCAACTTCACCCCCATCTTCATCCCCAGCCTCATCCCACCTTCCTCTTCCGTGGGGTGGGCTCTCCAAAGACAAAGTGGGTGCCGTCGGGCTCATCAGGGCCCTCATCGGGGAGTGGGCCAGGCAGGAAGGTGCTGGGGACGTGGCTGGAGAGGGGGGGTGAGGGGGTGGAGGGGGTGGATCGGTCGCTGGAGGGGTCCCAGCTCCAGTCCCCGCTGGCATTGCTGCTGCTGCTGCAGCTGGAGGACATGGCAGGAGCCTCCTTCCAGACCTCGCTGCCAGGCTCTGGTGAGGAGGAGGAAGAGGAAGGTCAGGTCCTGCAGTGGGACAGACATCCAGGGATGGGGGGACAGGGACAGGCTCTTACCTGTGGCATGAGTGGCCGGTGGGTGCCCGAGCACCAGGGGGCTGGCGGAGAGGCTGGTGAGCACCGCAGCTGCCATCACCTCATCAATGCCCGCCTTGCCCGAGAGCTTCCTGCCAGAGAGAGCAGAGGGGCTGCGTCAGGATGGACAGGCCCCATGGGACCCTCTACTGCTTTCCCTCCCCCACTGAGGTGCCAGGACCTCCCACCCACAGGGGTCTGCACCCTCCCTAGGGTGGTTTGTGTGGGGGTACAGGGCTGGCACAAGGTCTAAGGGGCCCCACCATGTTGGTGGCATCACCAGGTGGAAAGGCACCCACAGGTGCCCCACATTCTGCAGCACCCTGAGATGCTGCTGATCCCTGCAGGGATCATCCCAGCAGCTGGCTGGAACTCCCCTAGGCAAGGCACTCCCAGTGCAGGCAAGCTGCCAAAATGCCACTGCCTGTGCCATGCAGGGGCAACCCTCCATGACCGTGGGCAGCACTGTGCCAGAGGGTACAGGCAGCTGCATCCTCCAGAGACACAGGGATGGCTTCCCTAAGGCCAAACAATTCCTTGAGGTGGGAAAAAAATATTAAAAATTTAGGCTAAAAAATAAGCAAGAGGTCAAGAGCACCCAAAAACATTTTGGAAACGGAGAACCTGGTGATGCTTCCAGCTGGGAGTCCCCGGAGCTGCCACAGCGGGACAGGCTCTCACCACCGGGGATCCCAGCACAGCCACCAGCGGCCAAAGTCCTCCTGCAGAAAGAATCCCGGCTGCCGCAGCCAGGCCAGTGCCGGTGGGGG